TCATGGTCTAAAAATTAAAAACTTGTTGAGGCTAGCAGTTCGGCTGATTCTTTAAAAAGTTGTTGAGGATTGTGGCTGCTTCTTTGTCTTTTTCTTTTGCTTGTTGTAGATTTTTCATTAAAGAAGCATCAATAAGCTAAAACTGTTTATTGGAAAACCAAAGTGATGCATTCTGGGTACATCTGTGACGGGCAACAAAAAGTAGATGTAAATGTGTCCAGAGTGTGAGATTCTCCTCAGATTGTCTCTCTGTGGGATCAGAAATAAATTTTAGATGCAGGAAATTTATACATTAAATGGAGAATGAGTGAGAAAACTGTCTAAATAACTAGTGGGGTGTAAACATGAGTGTGTATGTGTTGGTGTGTGCACGTGTGTGAAGCTGCTGTTTTCAGCAGAGGCGGTGCATGAGGCTGAGACATTTCCACCTTTACTCGTCTTTAATAAATGACCATAAACACAGAGGAACTGATGAGTTTTTAGAACTTAGAAAAATATTTATTAAATRGTTGAAGTGAAGGAAGGAGTGACTCGCTGTGCTGTGAGTTCCTGCCGCGGTGTGAGACTGGGAACAGCTGATTGATCCATATGCACAACTTTACGCAGCAAATATTGCATCTTGTGGAGCAGAGGAATCATCACAGCTGAGCTGTTCTGAATTAATCTGCTGAGTTGACAACTTTTTTTCTCAGTTAGAATTAAAAATGTTTCTTAGATGATTCACACATTTTATTTCCCTCAGCTGTGTGTGCGCTCTGCAGAGCCTCTGAGTGTGTTTCCATCTGTGACAACAATTAAACACTTTACAGTTTACAGTAGACTGGACTGAGGTTCTTTGATCATTTTTAGACTGATCTATTTTCTTGTCTGAGGTTGAATGATTTTCAGTTTCATCATCGTTCAGTTTAAACAACAAAAACTCAAACTAAAATAAAAATCTAACAGCGTGTTCAGACGCTCCTTACATCCAGAAAACACAACAGAGTCATATTTCTGTGGATTCAGGTCAGATTCATGACTTTGTGAGTTAAAACTGTCGACTGAARAACTTTGTGTGTCTGCCGCACATTCTCACGGCAGGTGAATAGTGTGCGAAAATATACAAACACTTTCACTGTTTTCTTATGTGGTTCCTCCCCCAGTTTACCCACCAGGACACCGATGGGTCCTGGAGTGGAGACAATGTCTCCCTCTTGGTTTGGAGGTGATGGACCGGACTTACAACCAACTGGGGGTGGCCTGTGTGGCCGTGTCCAGCCTGTCTCCTGGAGGAGACAGGGGCGGGAGCCTTTAGCTCGGCCTCTAGCTGCCTTCCTTCCAGTGGTCGCTCCCTTCTTGAACCCCGGCCTTTGGATCAGCGTAGTAGCTCAGGACGCCTCCAGCTGCCGGTCACCACTGTTCCTGGTAGCCGCTCCCTCTTAGGATCTGCACTTCTTACTGTGACCGAGATGATGATTAGTGACCTGGACAGCAGGTCTCAAGGGAATTGTTAAAGGGAGTTATCCTATCTCCCCAGGCTAATAACCATTAAAAATGAACTTATCATTAATTTATGACCTCATGTCATTACCTCTGGGCCTCAAAGTAATCACACTCATTAATATGTAAATACCTTGTTGCTTTGAAGAAACAACACTCTCATGTAATCAGAGAAAAAACTTTAAAAACCAATATCCAGTCATGGAATTGTCTTTATGATGCTGTAAGCAGTTTAATAGAAATTTGCAAGAAAAGCCACATTTGATTATACAGATTAAGAATATTGAATAATATTTGATGGTGACAAAAATAAAAAGTTCTAAAGCGCTGACATAACCTTATGACTAGAATGTGTGACATTTTCTGTTAATTTTGGATGGCAGGACAGTAGGAGCAGTGTTGCTTTACCTCCATAAAAAGCATCAGACTGTYGTCCAAAAAATGACTTCTCAGAGCTGGGCTGTTTAATCTGGTCTTCGGTCTGTRGATCGCTGGAGAGAAGTGTGTCAGCTTGTCGCAGATCATATGTCTCTTGGACCTGTTTGCTCCTCTTCTTGGGCTGTCCTCGCCTTTTGCTGCCTCTTCTCCAGACGGGGCCAGAAGATGAGTTACTGCTGAAACTGCTCCTCTTTTATACTGTCTTTGGGCCCGCTTCCCCCTTCTTACCATTCTGTGGTAAGGCTGGGAATTTCCACCACAGACKTTTTTGTGTACTTCCCAGAATGAAGTAATCTTGCTGATTCTGGTAATAGGACTGTCAGGGACTTTTTGTGGTGAGTCAAAACCACCTTGTTTTTTTACCACAGGGCCTCTGGGACTTTCCCAATTCTGCTTTCTTCGGCTGCTCCTGTTTTGCAGAAGTACTTTTTGTACTTTCTACCGTCCAAAATAGCACACACACACACCCTTCCTTCATTTTAAGACACACAATAACACTTCTTTCTAAATCACCATCTTACATTAAAAACACATTAATTATCACAGTACATTACTTAGATCATACTTTGCAATAAGCATATAATTATTACTCTTGTTATTTATTTGCCAGCATTAAAATTGATCAAAATTAATAATTATTACTCCTGCTCTCTCTTCTTCCTGATTTTCCTTTCCCTCTGGCCTGCATCTCAGTCCCTCTTGTGGCTCCTTTTCCTGTCATGTCCTCCTCTCTGTTGGGAGTCAAAAGGAGGCTCTGCTGGCCTGATTCCAACTCTTGAGATGGTCGGTACAGCCAGGTTCCTTGACATCACACAATGTTGGTTTTAATACATCCCAACGTGGGCGTAGAACCTGGCGCACACAACATTTTTATGTGTATACATCATTTATACATGAGGTCACTGGAGACACACTTCAGCCGAACCTCAGAACCTCAGATCAGAACCAACCACAGCAGGTGCGCCTCTGGAGAAGGGCAGATGCACAATACCACGCAAAGCATTGTGGGAGATGTCTCTTCGTTTTTTTTAATTGTTTATTAATTTCCTTTAAAACCAAAAATTTTATACACATTAAAAACTA